AAAGACCTGCATGTTTATATACATACATGCACACTAGAAATACATCCTAGAGTTATTGGTGTTCCTTATATATACTGCAAGTTTTTATACCATAAAAATAAAGAAAATTCTGTTATAAGAGACGGAAAAAAAAATGGAAATTGGTGAACTCTAATCATGCAATAGCATACATAATCACCATCCACCATGAACACACATCATTAGAAGCCTTCAGCATTCTGTGTCAGCTACTTCCACACTGAATACACAATGATTGTCCCACCCGAAGAACACATAAATAAAATCTTGAAGAGGAACAAGTCCACAATTTTACTTCCACTGCAAAGCACCACATACATAGACTACTAACAAAATAAAAGTAGAGAAACATAGGTCAAGCCCTTGGACTAAGTTGTTCTGTAAAAGTAAATTTATCTCACATCCAAGGAGGCAAGGAATATGACAATTCTCCGCTTGCAATAAGTACCACAGTCATATAATATTATAAGGACAATTTTGCAAAGAATTCATCAAAATCTTAAAGCTATTTTCGACAATGGAAGCGTAAATACAGCATTATTTACTGGAGATAGAAAAATAAGAGGGAGCAAACGGTCAAATTTTGGAATCCCTCGGGAGTATGACAGTGACACTGTATATTTGATCATGCATAAAAAGACTAAAACAAAGTGAACAGCGCTTCATTTGTTGGTGCATATATTTTACAATTTCTACGCAATTACACACAATGAGTATCCAAAACAACAGATTAATTGCCTCTTTCTACGTACCATGTCAATTGTCAAAGCTTACCGTTGCTCCACACAATAAAACATAACTTCCTAACAATGTATAGGATGCATTAATGCAAGTATGCAATTCCAATAACCAACGGTCTATAATTCCAAAATTCACAAACATGATCGTAAATTCATAACATTTTAATGATACACTACAAAGATGACAGATATATTATACTTCCATCCATAATCTTACCATAACTCTTACTATCATGTGCCCGTTGCACAACAATCCGAAGAGTTTTAGCAAACATCAACTTCGGCAACCGCCTCTTACTCGCCAATATCTCTTTATTTGTACAATCAATCAGCAAAGTAACAAGAAACGGCCAAGTTTCAGCTGCATACACACCATTTAAATTCAAAACCGCTTAAAAAACCTTAAAACATTCAAAAATACGGCACAACACGAACTCGAAAGACGAAACACGAGACTTACGGCCTGGAATTTCATCTGGTCTAAGCATCGCAGTCTTACGACTAAGAAATCGACAGAACTTAATCGACCTTTCGCCTCCTAACCACGTATTCAACAATTTCATCCCCTCCTAAAATCATCCGATCATCAAATTGAAATCAAAAAACATCAAATTGAAAGCATAGTCAAACAATTATAAGCAAAATTCAACGAATAATTAGGTTTTACATACTTCTCGAATTTTTGTTTTATCGGAAGAGAGTTTGGAGACGATCTCATGTATGTCTCTTGAACTAACTGTCGCCATGGTTGCATCAATGGCGATTGAGAGGAGGAGGAAGAAGAAGAGAGTGGTTTGGTAACTGCAAAGAATGTATGGAAGATCGAGAAATGGCGGGAAATAGAAAGAAGGAAGAAAGGAAAGGAAGGGTTTAGTGAGGGTTTTAGAGTGAGAAAGTGAAGAACATTCCTTACATTCCTTTCTCAATTGAATATTGCAAGTTTGCAAATTGGAGGTCATGCGGTGGGTCCCAAGTCCACCATTATTTCTCTTTTTTCTTGCATGGGTAAATGGGTAATTTGACATTGGAATGCATGGTCTGAACTCTGAACCAGGCTTAGCTTCGGAATAAGGTGAGTTTGGTTTGAGGGATCGGTCAGGTCAGGTTGGGTCAGATCAGGTCAGGTCAAGTTCGGACAAAATATGCATGTTTAAAGTCACAAAAACAGGCTATGATAGAATGGGTTTTTCAATTTTTACCACATTTTGGCCTACAACTATTATAATGGATTTTTCAATTTTGACCACATTTTGGCCTAAAAGTATTATAGATTATCTAAAAACCGTTTATAAATTGGTAATCCGGCACTCAGGCTCGAAAATTCAATCGAAACTATTTTTGACAATCCACATTTACTTTTTTGGTGGTGTGCATGCAATTGAAAATCATATGACTTACGAAGTACAAAATTTCTAAACTAATGTGTTTATTATTCATATTATTGTGGAACACTAAGGATCTGTTCTCTTCGGCTTAATTTCAGTTCAGATCAGCTCTTAATTTCCTTTTCTCGTAAACAATTCATTTCAGCTCTGTTCATTTCAGTTCAACTCCAATCAATTAAGTTTCAGTAAATCTGAACATACCCTAATTTCATATTGCATTCGAATATTTGATTGCTTAAATTGAGTTAGAAAGCATAATTCACTTGATGAAATTAGGTGTGATCGTGGTACATGAAGCTTCAACATGTTGAGTTGAGCCTAGGGGTGTCCATTATTTAGGTTGTAACTGAAATCCAATCCAATACAAATAATAATCGAATTGGATTGAAAATTTTCATTTCATAGTTAGAGACATTGATTACAGTGGTGTTTTGCATCATGTAATAAACCATGCATACAGCTCAAAGTCTTGTTGCGCATACTGATGGGAGTCCTCAATTGCATCACACGATTGAATGAATTGGATTTAGAATCAGTTTTATTCAAGATCAATTCAAGGCATGTAGCAATCTTGAGGCGATGTTTGCTTCACATGGGAAATAATTTTCCCATGGGAATTCTAATTTTACGGGGAAATACTTTCCTTTTGTATTCCCCTTGGAATTGGGCTAACGTTGTTTGTTTGACATTGTAAGAAATTTAATTGCCTAGGAAATCACTTTCCCTATTCTGTTTGGCGTAGACATCTATTTCCTATGACATTATATATATCTATTTTAACTACTTTTACTTCACGTTTTAATCAAATTTAAGGATATTATCGTCATTTCCCTGAAAACTTGACACAAGAAATTCGACTCAACATGTTTTATTTCAATGTTAGAAGGAAAGGGAAAATAGCAATTACTTTAAAATTTTAAGTTTCCAGTTTTTATTTTCTTTTGGTTAACCAAACACAACAACAAATACCCATTTCCTAAGAAATTTCACGTTGAAGGAAAAATAGATTCAACCCAACAAGACCCAATTTTAAAGCCTAAAGAATATCTAATATTACTTCTAAATTGTATTATATTCAATTTTAATGTATTACTAGATGAAGCCCGTGCGATGCACGGTTTGTTTGAATTTTGTAAAATAATATTTTTTTTATATATATATTTATGTGCTAAAATTTGTTATATATTTAGATAAAATTCTTGATATTAAAAAATAATATTTTATATTTCATTAATTTAAATTGGGAAATCTCATTCGCCAATTTTGCCGTGTCATTTAAATTATTTAATTCTAAAAGAAATTAATAATCTCGTATTTAATTGGCAACCATTAAAATTTATTATCCTACATGGCGCACTGAAAAAATTAAATCCTACGTGGCTCTCTAATATATATATATATATTAGATTTGTGAGATACATAATATAAAAAGTTCCAAAATTGCATATAATACGAACCGAAATAAGTATATTCCATCCAACTTGGGGCCTATCCTCATTCATTTATTTTCAATTCAGTTCAGGTGCTAATTTCCTTCTCTTATAAAATATTCAGTTCAGTTCATTTCAGTTCAATCAGTGGGACACAAATTCTTAAATGAACCTGGTTCACACTAATTTATTGTGAACCAATAATATTAGAGAAAATATGGTTGTTTTGTTAATAAAAAAAAGTCACTATAATAAAAACAAGGTCACTATGTTGAAATAAAAGTCATTTTAGTAATATATACGCTATAAGAGGTTAATTTTTTTAATGAAATATTTTATATATTGGTTAATATGAATCATAAAGGTCACTATGTTCAAATTAGGAACATAACATTGTATTCAAAATTCACAATAATATTAAACATCATACAAGTTTTAATAAAGGTTACTATGTTAAAAATAAGGGTCACTAACTCACTATGTTCAATATAATATCAGTTACGTGTGGATAAATCTCGAGTCAACAATAATATTATTGTGGACTATGTCCACACGAGTCTTTTGGTCAATGCCAACAAATCTTTAGTGAACATTAGTCTTGGTACTAGGAGAATCTTTTTGAAAAGATTTTATTTCCTCAAACTTAAAGAATGTTCTCCTTCTCCTGTCAACATAGTCTTCATTATTTCCTAAAATTTCTCCTACCATATCAATATATACTCCGTATCATCTTCTTCCAAATTAATATCGATCAGCTTTAATTGTGATTTGTGAATAAGAAATAACATAAAACGGACTTCCTCCTCTTCTCGCTCCTCTCTCTCACTTCTCCATTGAAGCGCATTCAACTTAGCGTCTTCTGATACTTGCATCCTGCATTGAAGCAGCTTCTGAGGTAAATTTTTATTTTTTTTGTTGGTAATCATCATGTCATCATAATCTAGGGTTTATCGTTGATCTAAATTAATTTAATTATAAGTTTAGGGTTCGAATATAATTACTAAGGTTTTATGAAATTTAATAACCAGCGAAAATTGTTGATAGAAAGAAAATTATGACCCTAATTTGATGATTAAATCAATTATGCCCTTTTCTCCCTGAAATTACCTATGTATCTTTTCATTGAATCAATTTTGGTTACTAATGTGTTACAGAACCTTTAATGTTAGAATTGAATTATGTGTTGCTTGTCATATAGAATAAAAACGGTTTTTGTTAATGTATTGCATCACCCTTTATTTACGAAAATGCCATGTGATAAATGTTTGTTTATCATCGAGAGAAACATGTATTTTCTGGAAATTAATAGTCGTAGTAGTAGTTGCACAATCGATTTTGATGAGGTATCAAGGTGATTTTGTTGGCTAATTTAAGGAATTGGTTTTGTCAGGTGTTAAGAATTGTGGTTTAATTGAGTAGTTTTGAGAATGGGAGGAGGATTCAGAGTATTGCATTTGGTGCGACCGTTTCTTTCGTTTCTTCCTGAGGTGCAAACAGCAGACAGGAAGGTACCCTTCAGAGAAAAGGTGATCTACACTGTTATCTCCTTGTTTGTATTTCTGGTGTGTAGTCAGCTTCCGCTTTATGGAATACACTCCACCACCGGGGCTGACCCGTTCTATTGGATGCGTGTCATCCTTGCTTCCAACCGTGGAACCGTCATGGAGCTTGGTATCACTCCCATTGTCACTTCTGGCTTGGTCATCCAACTTTTGGCAGGGTCTAAGATTATTGAAGTCGACAACAATGTCCGAGAGGATCGTGCACTTTTGTAAGTATCATAGTCTGCTTTTGTATCCTTTTGTTGAATGCTATGGTTTGTGTCTGTGTTCTTTTAGAATTATCAAGTTTCATATTTAGTAATCTACTTGTAGGTATCAATAACTGATTTGTTATAAAATGTCAACTTGGAGGGTGGGAGGGGATTTTTTTTATTTTTTTATTATGCGGTGAAAGACGATACAGCAGGAATATGTTGTTTATTCATGCAAATGCAATAGCTTCCTGTATCTTGATTTCAGATTGTGTGAGCAAATGTACGACTGTCTTAAGTTATGTGACTGTTTTTTTTTTTTTGCTCAAGTTGTACTGAATACTTCAGCAGGAATGTAGTGTTTTTGTTATAATACTATAACCTTTAGCTGCAGGAGCTTGTAGATTGGATGAGTTGTGTATCCTAGTCGTGAGTTGTGCTTGTTTTTTTTTTCGTTGGAGTTGTATAAATTTCTAATCTTTATAATGTTTTATTTAAACTTTAGGAATGGTGCACAAAAGTTGTTGGGTATTCTGATTGCTGTTGGTGAGGCTATAGCATATGTTCTTTCTGGCATGTATGGAAGTGTTGGACAACTTGGTGTTGGCAACGCAATTCTTATCATTCTTCAACTATGCTTTGCTGGTATTGTAGTGATCTGCCTTGATGAACTTCTTCAGAAGGGTTATGGTCTAGGTTCTGGCATTTCACTTTTCATTGCAACCAACATCTGGTGAGCTTTAATCTTTATTGTGTTGTGGTATTCTATCTCATTAAGGTGTAGATTATTTTTGCTAAAACATTTTTTTTTCTTGATTTGTAGTGAGAACATCATCTGGAAAGCATTCAGCCCAACCACCATCAATGCTGGCCGTGGACCTGAGTTTGAGGGTGCTTTAATTGCTTTGTTCCATCTCTTAATTACCAGAACTGACAAAGTTAGGGCCCTTCGTGAGGCATTTTTTAGGCAGAACCTTCCCAATGTAACCAATTTGCTCGCCACTGTCTTGGTCTTCCTTATTGTCATCTACATCCAGGGATATCGTGTTGTCTTGGCTGTGCGGTCAAAGAGCGCTCGTGGCCAACAGGGCTCATATCCCATCAAGTTGTTTTACACCTCCAACATGCCCATCATTCTTGTATCTGCTCTTGTGTCCAACCTTTACTTCTGCTCACAGGTACTGGAGTTAGCAATTGATTATGTTCTCACTGCTTATCTTATGATTTATTCCCAAGATTTTAAATGTTTGTGGATTTGTGCAGTTGCTATACAGGAAATACGGCAGGAACTTCTTTGTAAATTTGTTGGGCATGTGGAAGGAGTCTGAATATGGTGGTCAATCAATCCCAATTGGTGGACTTGCTTACTATATTACTGCCCCAGCCAGGTGTGTATCGCTCCCATTTTAGTTTGATTAGTTTCATGTCTGCCAGTTGTTTGATTAGAAGTCTCATTATTCATTTGTTGAACTTGCAGCTTAGCAGACATGGCAGCACACCCCTTCCATGCTATGTTCTATATAATTTTCATGCTTTCCGCATGTGCTCTATTCTCAAAGACATGGATTGAGGTTTCTGGATCATCTGCTAGGGATGTGGCTAAACAACTCAAGGTAACATATAGAATAACAGTGAAATTTGTTTCTTGTTTATTTTTATATATTTTTTTGGTGTCATAGGAGAGGAGACTGTTAAAAGCAGTCTGTTTGATTGAAAGATTATCTCATGGTATATCGTGTGATTGTGAGATGATCCATTGACCTTGCAATAATATTCTAAAATTTTCCAGCAATGTGTTATTAATTTGAGTTGTGACTTTGCAGGAGCAAGGTATGGTTATGCCTGGACACCGTGATTCAAACTTGCAGAAGGAACTCAACCGTTACATTCCCACTGCTGCCGCCTTTGGAGGCATGTGCATTGGTGCATTGACAGTCTTGGCAGATCTCATGGGTGCCATTGGCTCAGGAACTGGAATTTTACTTGCAGTGACCATCATTTATCAGTACTTCGAGACATTTGAGAAAGAGCGAGCAAGTGAACTAGGATTCCTTGGGCTTTGAGCACCCTAAACGTATGTATAATGGAAAAACATGTTAAAGATAAAATTTTGTATGAAAATAAATATATTAATGCGCAAATATGAGCTGATGAAGCTAGAATGCTAGATAGTTGGGCTGGAATGAGTTTGATGCACTATATAGTTTATAGTGGAACATCAAATACTAATGCCAATTATAAAAGAATACAAATTTACTAATATATATTCATAATCATAATTTTGATTGTTCGAAAGATTAGAATTATGAGCTAGTTTATTGATTGTATAGATATAAAATACTTCGTAAATAATGTACTCCCTCACTTAATATTTAAATATTTAAGTGCTCAGTTTGACTTTGACACTCTTTTGACCAAATAAATTTATACTTATGGATTAGAGCTATCATTATTCAAAGTTGTAAATTGGCAAGCTAAGTGTGCCGTCAAACGAGAGCACTTAAATAAAAACAAAGGGAGTAGTTTGAGTATGTTTATATCATACACATGTCATAATTTAAGTGAACAGTGTATTCTTTGAAAATTCAAGCAATGTAGCTTGACTGAGCAATCTTTCCACCCCAATTTTAAGCTCCGTTATGTTCTTGTAATTTTCAATCAATATAAATATAAACAAGTTGTTTTTGCATACCAATATACCATTGAAGATGCTCTTATCTTACAATACTAAGCTAAAAAATTTCAAACTTTAAAAAAAATTAAAATTGTGTGCATATAAATTACAATGTTACATACAGTAGATGGATAACAAGGGATCAAAATGGTTCTTAAAGTAGAAGGAAATTATCTTGAATTCACACAAGTAATATTAATAATCCGTAATAATTAAGGTGAGTGTGTCATAAAGCACATTCTTTGATGCATAGAAGCTTGCTAATCACACCTGTCCTACAATCTACGGACTAATGGACGATATAGTCCAATTCCAAGCCACCACTACTACTACTACACTAGCCTTAATTTAATGTGGGCCCACTTTAAAGAGTGTTGGACCTTGGGCCCACTAATTATGGGCCCCATTTATAAATAAAGACACAAAAGCTAGAATGCTGCATAAAGTGAAGAAGAGATTTGTACAGTACAAAACTGTTACTGTATGTGTGAAATCCAAAATCAAAATGCAAAGCAAATTGTTCATAGTAACAAAAACAATGTTTCCCTACTGGCTACTTGTACACGTTGCATGCATATACGACCAAAATTGTTGGTAGTCATTAGTCAAGACTCAATATTTTCATTATCATGTTCTTGATTGTTATAATGTTACAGAATTATTACATCATAAATAAAAGTATATAGTAGCTAGGGTTCATTCATTGTACTTAGATTTCATCATTTTTACACGCTTACATATTCTTGTCATTTACTTATTGTACTCGATCGTATTATGTATATGGTTCCATTCTCATTGGTGTTATACTTTTTCCCTCATATTACACACTTAAATTGTTACATACCTTGTATTCCTTGGTTGTGATGTCACATTTTCTTTTATGTGTTAGACAATAATTACATTATACTTGTATATAATATACCGGCACAAATTGTTATCTTCGTACTCGTATAAACTAAGGCATAAAGGAGGAACAGATAGATAGGTAGGGTCTAGGGAGTACTAAAATGAAACTCAGGATGTTACCGTTGTTACTTAGCTTATTGGGCAGGACTTACAGGAGAAAGAATATCTTTCTCAACTACTTCGTATCTACTCGTAAGATAATTTCATTCTCTATTTTTTAATTAAATAACTACTCGAAATATTAAAATTAAATTTTCTAGAGCTTAAACTTACAGTATTCCATGTACCGTTAGATGTACAATTCTCATGTAGTCATATGTTTCATTAGTACACTCGTATATATTGACTGCATGTATATCTGTGCTAAAAAGAGTAGTATTACTTTCCCAACAAGTTACTTACAGTTGAATTTTAATTTACCGACTAAATGCAGATTGCAGAACTCTGTAAAAATAAAGTTGATATATATTTTTGCTGAAAATAACTCTAGTTGATTATTTAAATGGATAGATGTAATGTGATTAAGAAGCTATAGGTTCATAACCTTCTTTACATCAAATGTCCTTTTCTCTTTTTTGATCCATGTCTTTTAACTTAAAAAATCTTTGGTAAATTACATGCATAATAAGACATATTTATTTTTCAAAATATTACGTATTTTATACATATTCCGTTACTCCATTCCCTTTTTACATTTTACTTTGATCTTTTTCTTTTTGTTATGATCTCAAAATTTTATGTACTTTATAACAATTTATAAATTTGAAAAGGAGGAAAAAAAGAAATTAATACAATAGTAGTGTGTATATAATACGTAATATATGTCAGTATAACAAATTGAATGCAAAGATGATGACTTTATATTAGATGCATAATGTGAGCTTTAAGCGGGAGTTTTTTTTTGTACAAAGTAAACAAACTATTTAACACTCTCTTCATCTACAATTACAGTATATGAATATCGAACATGCATGTATGTATTATGTATGGGTACTAAAATAAATTATGATTGTAAACATAATCAACAAAAGAAATATACGGAGAGATGGAGAATGTATGTTGAAAAGTAGTTTTCATTTAATAGTATGTATAATATCATACTCGTAATAACTTTAACTTAGAATAATTTTGAAATTATATTACCATGATTATTTTGATTATTTCTAGCTACTAAGTAATTAAAAGGGTGAATTATATTGGGATCGGAGGATAAAGATTTTAAACATTGGATCTAATGAAACTATTATTTACAGCAAGACTACATTAACCTTTATGCATGCTAGCTCAAGTGATAGCCACACTTTATTTTTTTTTTAATTTTTTTTTATTATGTTATATTACTTGGAATCTTGTAAATGATAATGTTTATTATTTCTTGATTAAGTTACTCTATCAAAATGTGTGCTTTACTTATTATTAAAATAAAAAAAAAAAAAAATTGAATTTGATCATCACATCGAGATCTGATTGGCCCTTTTCAACCTGTTATTAGTTTGCTTAATGTGCCTTTGCCTTTTTTGTTAAGCGATCAATATCACGTTTTTAGTAATTTTAATTTGTATTTCTTAATGACCATAAGAGAGGAATTTCAACTAAAATGCCTTGACGCATACTACTTTAGACCCTTTTTAAAAAAATTAACTTATGTCAAATTGCTGTCACAAAATTAGAGTTGCTAATTTAGTGTTTCTTTAGTTTACTTAATTAGGGATACCGGATACTCAATAATAAAGTATAAAACATATTTTTGGGATTCAACCATCAACTTAAACTTTTAGTTAAATTGATCCTTTAACATGGTATCAGAGAAGCTAGTTTGATCCCTCTCTAAATTAATTGTAATATGATCTTTTGACTAAAATCTAAACTTTTATATGCTTGTAACTTACTTTATATTCTATATTCCACATACCCCGTAATATATCATCTTACGCATTAATTCATAGGTAGTGTACTTAAGTATTTCCGAATTATTCAAATTCCTAAATACGTCCGTTTGACTGGTTTTCACACACACAGATACATTTATAAAACATACCTTGATTTGACGTCTTGAAAAATGGAAATTAACAATCATAATACAATCAATAAGGCTTAAATTATGCTACTATAAACTTATACTACTCTGTTTCATATGAAGTATTATTTACAATAATTTGACATAAAATAGAGAAGAAAAATATTTAATTGTTGCAAATTATTAACTTGCTATCGTCACCATTTGCGTATTTGCATACGTATGAAGTTACTAATGGTTGATTCCTCGTAGTTGAAAATTTGAAGAGCCAATCACGTGTTAATAGAAGAAGTGAAGAGTGAAGTGGAAAGGCACGTGATTTAAGAGAGAATATATCCCTTGCTTGTAAGAAGCGACCATAAGGGCCCCACAAGATTGGGCCCTCCTGGGTCGGTCATTTGGGCTCTGTTTCTTTATCGAAGAACGAGGAGCCCATCAGATAAAATATTCTCTCTCTTCTTGGATGCGTTTGCTCAAGTCACGTCAGACAACGACCACCAAAATTTCTTTCCCCTTTCTTTCGGGTAAGGTTATCAACGATAAATTTTATGTCTACGAGTACAAATTTTAACCACTAAACTTAAAACACTTTCACTCTTAAGTCTAATACCAATGTGCGAAGATTATTTAGGTACATTTATAATAATACATAGTATTTCAGAAAATTATTATAAGGTGAAGTTAACATACTCTAAGTTTCATATACAGATGGATCAAGATAGATGTCATTTACGATCTACCATTTACACATGTTTTTTTTAATCATCGTAGCGAAATGTGAAATTATTCACCTAGCTAGGCATTCATTTGTTTGTTTATTATATTTTTTAGTGCGAAGAATGAAAGCTTAGAATTAAGGTGAAGCAAAGTGATCTTACGCTTAATGACATAATGTATAAATGCACATCATGCTCTCGAGCAATGAATTATGTATATTTGTTTTTTTTTTTTTTTTTTTTTTGGTGTTTAGAGAGGATCAATGATGAAAATCGATCCAAAAATCCCTTAACCATCTAAAATATTCATCGCTTTCATGTACTTGTGATCAATGCACATAGCATGTACATTTTGAAAAATAACAGGCAACACTAAGATATGAACATGCTCTTTAATTTTTGAATTACCCTGAATGTGTTACATCAATGTATAATTGAATGTGTAATATTGTGCATACACTCGTATATATAATCGAATCAGTTCAATTCAATTCAGTTCAGTTCAAGACAAACATTACTCAATTCAAAGACCAAAGAATAATTTTGTTAATGTGGTGTGTAATCTATGCATGTCGTTTAGTTAATATGGATAGTGGTGTGATGTGAAGTTAATAATCGTACGAATCAACTTCACACTGGAAGTAGTAATGAAGACATCGCAGCCGTCAAAAATGTAACAAAGGTGAGTCAAGGTGATGTAAGAGAGTGGGACCCAAGAGATTGTAGATAGACCAGAATTATTTGTGACAGGGACAAGAAATAAGGGACCCAGTAAAAAAGATGTCACACCGCCGACGCTTCGAAGAACACCGTAGTTTAAGGTCCCTAGAGGGGCTACTCATATCTGGGACAGTCACTCCATATCTATCATTACCACCTAATTTGCATGTCTTTGGACCCTGCGTTTTAAGTGGGGTACTTTGAAATTAGATTATGGCAGTATTATGTTTTCTTCTTTTGAAAATTTTTACAGAATAAAATATAGAGGATAAATGGAATAATATTCGATAAAAATTTAAATTTAAATTTAAATTATACGAATATGAATGAAATTGATAGAGTATAAAATATATTCCTAGATGGTTGAGGTCTAGTAATATATTTTATACTCTATTACGAACGATATGTGAATGGAAAAAATTTTATGGAATAGATCAAGGGAGTATAAATTATAAAATAGATTAATTGTTCAATTCAATACTAATGGAATATAGTCAATGAAAAAGTGTTGATTTTAAACATATAAAAAAGATGTATGTTGCAATTAATATAGAAGAAAGCAATTAGAATTAGTTGACCGTTGACATTGAACAATCTATCATCATTTTTGTTTAGTGATCATATATATTATCTACGGATCGAGTACCATATACTAATAGTCCATTTTGTTACCTCATGTGTTCATTCCCTCTAAATGAATGATGATGTAGAATGTGCATGTTAGACTACAATAAGGTATAGTAGGGGTACATATTCTATTACAAGGTGTCTCATTGTAGAAGGGATTAACCTATATGTTGCCATTTACAATAGAGGAGAAAGCTGCCCTAGATTATTATAACAAAAATAACTCATTACCTAACTGTACATATTCCATGTAAAATCACTGTAGCAAATTCATTCACTTACTTTATTGCTTGTACTGTAAACATACACTATTCACCTTGCATTACGATCGACAATAGATATTGATAGATATATGGAAAAATTCATAAATTAAACTTTTGAATAAAGATAGTACTATTCTTAAATAACCCTTCTAACTATTTAATTACTATCATCCATTGTATAAAAACAATATTGGAAGTGAATCTTATCAAAAATCGAGCTATAAAAAACTATTCGCCTACTAATTTAATCCAATTAGTAGCTCAATTTGCTTCACTAGAGACTAAGTAAACAAATAGAATATAATAACACTCTTAACATTTTTTTTTTTTTTTTTTGTGTTCAACTCGGTTTACCTTTTGAGCTAATAATCTGAATTCGGAGATTAGTTCTGGGTGGTTAGGTTCCACTCCACTCCCCTCCCAATTATTATTGCGGGGGGTTCGAATACGTACAAGTCCTTCCTAACAAGTATAGTCCCAATAACCACTGCACTAACAATCAATTGGTACACTCATGTACCAGAAGAGCTAGCCAAGAGAGACACGTTATAATTGTAGATTTGTAGTCGTAGTGTATAAGATCATGGAATAAATTATTATACGAAATAATATAATTGAAAACTACTGAAATAATGATGATTGATGAGAATATAAATTACAAGTACAAAATACATATAAAATGGACCAGCTAATATAAGGATAGTTAAGTGGGCCATAATGATGATGTTAACCCCAAAACCTCACCTTTTTCTTCCTTCTTATTCGCGACCAAACCCTCTCAATACCTCCCACCTTTCCTCACTTCTTCTTCTTCTCCTTCTTTCTCTCTCTTTCTATTCTTCTTCTTCAATTTTTTCTCTCTAACTATTTCTTACTACTGTACTACTATATATATATATATATATATATATATATATATATATATATATATATATATATATATATATATATATTCACCAATCAAGCTTTTATAATTTGGTTAATTTCAAAATTTGAGAATTTAATTTATATTATCTTTATACTTATTATTATTTGATGATGGCGCATTCTTCTTTGCAAGTTTGCATGGATTCATCTGACTGGCTTCAGGTATATACATTTTATTTATTTTTATTTCATAATTTATTAACCAATAGTATATGATAATTAGCATTATAGGTCTATTTATATCACCTACATTTTCACCATTTTAAATGTTGTGAATGTTATAAATTTATCTTGTCATTTCTCTTACATTTGTTTTAAGATGTTAAAATGAAGAAATTTCAAATCTCAATTATTATGTTATACGGAGTATTAGATACTACATATCTATTTAATTAATTAGTATAATTGTAAAATTTTTCTTGTTGTTCTAAAGAGGGAAAGCAAAGTGAATAAGAAGATTACTTATTAATTAGTACTCAATTTTTATATGTTGGTGTAATTTATGCTGTTTTCTCAATATGTGTTACATCTGTAGTAAGAACTTGCTCTTGTACTATAATTGGTTGTAGTTTAACTAAATTTATTTTGTACACTAAATTCATGATGTTGCTAGTGCTCCCACATTGTGCTGGAGTGGCATTGACAGATAATACCTCTTTGTTGCAAATAATAAGAAACGAAGATAGTAACATGCTATAATGTACTAGCAGGGCACAATGTCGGAGGAAATATCAACAGGGCTAGACTCATCCTCCTCGCCATCAGGAGGAACAACAACAACAGAGTGTATGCTAGCAGCAGCATGCTCGTCGAGGGCGGGAGCGCCATTAATGGAGAGAAGGCTTAGGCCACCACATGACCAACACTTGAAATGCCCAAGGTGTGACTCAACTCACACCAAATTTTGCTACTATAACAACTACAGCCTATCACAGCCTAGGTACTTCTGCAAGACATGTAGGAGGTATTGGACTAAGGGAGGAACCCTAAGGAACATCCCTGTTGGAGGTGGTTGTAGAAAGAACAACAAGAAATCGAGCTCGAAAAAATCAAACAATGACAACCAAAACCAACCCTTGAATGTCCATCTTCATCATGGTGGTGGTAACTCCATCCTTGGACCAAACTCGAGCCCTAACAACCCTATTGACCTCCACCTCTCATTCCCTCATGAGGTGCAATTCCCACCTCACCTTGCTAACCTCATCGGCGCGCAAATGAGCCTCGCCGGTGGGGGTGGTTTCATGGAGGGTGGTGGTCTAATGAGGCCAATAGACTTCATGGAAAGCAAGTATGAGGGTTTAGTAGGAGGAGGTAATAATAGAGGGCATGATTTTATGGGGGGCAATTCTAATACTAATGAACAATTTGGTCTAATGGGTGGATTTGGAGGGTATAATGGTAATAATACTACTACTTCTTTTGGTGGTATTTATTCTTCTAATTCATCACCTTTTGGAGTGTCTAATACTAATGATATGCAAAGTTCAGGAATTAGTTTCATGGATCAAAGATTGTTGCTCCCATTTGATGGGAACAATAGTGATCATCATCATCATCATCATCAAAGTGGGGTAGATGTTAAGCCTAACCCTAAGCTTTTGTCCCTTGATTGGCAAGACCAAGGTTGTGCTACTACTACTACAACTTCTGACCATAATGGTGCCAAGGACTCATCTTTTGGGTACAACATGAATAGTAATGGTGCTAGTCTTGGCTCGTGGACCGGCTTGATGGGTGGTGGTTTTCAATCTCCTACCACCAATTCACTAGTCTAGCTACACCAAGGGATGGAGCTTGCATCCGATAGGGCGCTCATGATGAGTATCTTAGTAATACGTCGTACTTAACTTTTACATATACTCGATCTCTAATATCGTTATAGCTATTACTTATGATGACCTGTCTTTTTTAAAAAAACAAATCATGACGGACTCTACTTTGATGTATGTTGAGATTATTGTGATCATAATTTGTCCCTGAAACGCTTTATAGCGTAAATTAGGTATTTTTTACTTCTTTTAAATATAGTATTGATTAACTGTCGTACCCAATCCGGTAACAATGTAAACTCGAGTTTTTTCAAGAGCAAGGTTAATGAAATGCATGTAATATAGACGTGGCCTGGGTCATGGATGTACTCCAATTTGAATAGCAAGAAAATGTCATGATAATGTGAATGAGACTTATGGGAGTTCATTAAGTCAAAAAGGGAGTACACTATAATAGCATGCCTTAGCTAGAGTAGTATAATTAGTCCATGTAATTTGCTTTTATTCAATTTTGTTGTCTACCTTAGATTGGTTGGATCCGAAGACAAACTTAGGTTGTTGGGATTTGTTTGCCACACGAGGGCATATCATATATACATATTACGTATGTGAAATATATATAATATATAGTGCTTATATAATATATAGTGATTTTTTATACTCAATTTAAATTCATGCACCAACGTTACATTGCATATTCTTCCCATCTCACAATATCTTAAACATTTTGATTTGAGTTTTTGTAATCACAATATCTTATTTTGACCATATATATATATATATATATATATATATATATATATATATATATATATATATATATATATATATATATATATATATATATATAAATGCTTAGTTTTGAAATATTTGCCAGTGAATGATTAAAAATAATTAAAGGTGTGCGTTGACAAATATGTGATGTTTAAAAGAAACAGACATGATACTTTGGGACGGCGTGATTACCGTTGTTAGGAGTATAATTTTATACTTGGCATACAATATGCAACCTTTCTTTTCTTTTCGCAGCTAGTGAACATGATAATGATGGGAACTACTACTACAACACATAATTAATTAATGAATTAATTAAATTACAAAAGTAACTTGACCTAAATGTGGTTAGAGTTTGAAACCTGGGAAAATAAAAAGAGAAAGCAAGAATTTCAGAAAGAAGAAAGTAAAATTCTCATGAGGAGTACAAAAGCATAATAACATGTGATTACAAAAAACACTTTAAATCCAGAAAAAATGTAGTATATTTGCGCAAATTTTGTAAATGGTCCTATAGGTTTGATCTATCAAATATCTTGGGTTTTGTAAACCATTAATTTCTCTCTTTCTAGCATGCTATAAGATAATGCCAAAAAGTGAATTAGTTGCGCCAAAGGGTCAAAAGACAACCCCCAGCCTATAGATCCACTTTAAATCATAATCATTTGGGACGAATTACATGATTTCCTTTTGAGTTTTGAATGATATAATGAGTTGAGTTGTTGTTAATTTAACAAATTTTAAAATGATTAAACCTTGATTATTTTGCTAAATAGAAGTTGTTGTGAGTTTATGCAACTATGCATGAGTTTTGTTACTTCTATGATGAAACTTTGAGCCTTTGAACACGTATACACTAGTTTTAAGGGGATTTGAGATATAGATTTCGGGGATGTCATTACCAAATAATTGGCGGACATTACTTGTGTGCATTACCATTTTTCACAAGATAACGTTTTAAAAGAGTCACTTCTATAATTCAATTTATTTACTTCAGATGAATTTTTGTCAGAGTAAAAAAGGGTCTCTAAAACATCAATGAAGATAAATAAGTTGGCATGAAAAAAATGAAGCAACTATTTTCAATTGATTAGGAACAAAATCAAATTCATATTCTTGTATGGAGTATTACTTTGTACTGCGTATATTTGATGCCAAACATTTCAAATAATTGGAGTTTCAGTGTTCATACATATTTTGGTGCAAAACTCTACCATTTATTGATCATAGCCATTTGCACAAGTTTTTATTTAGATAATAAAACAATACTCTGTAGTGAATAAAATGGCTTAGTGAGTGTAGTATTTAATTAAAAAGACAAAAAGTTCATAAAAAATAAAATGAATAAGATGGAGTATAGGAATCCCCAAATAAATTAACTGAAGTGCAAAATGTAGTCATAGAAATGCCTATTATACAGAGTAGTAGCGGTTTATTGTACGAAGTATTATTAACTACGGTATGAACAAGCTTTTACCCGTAAAGATATATACTCGTTTTGTATTTAAAGGTTTATAGTAACCAAGCATAACTTGGTCTAGTGGTGAGAGATCAAATCTCACTAGAGACACTTTGGGGTGGGAATTCCCTTATCCTTTTCTAAGGGTGAAAGTAATTCAGATTAAAACCGAATCGAACCGAAAACCAAACCGAATTAGTAATTTGGTTTGGATTTTTTTGAATTCGGATTGGAAAAATTAAAAAATATGGATTACGGATCGGATTGGATTCGGTTTGGGTTTAAAAAAACCGAAAACCGAATTACAAACCGAATTTTGACCCAATACTTTAAGCCCATTTTTTTTCAAAGTATCCAACCACTCCCCTTTCATATATAAACTAGATGAAGCCCGTGCGATGCACGGTTTGTTTGAATTTTCAAAAATAATTTTTTTTATACATATATTTATGTGCTAAAATTTGTTATATATTTAGATAAAATTCCTAATATCAAAAGATAATGTTTTATATTTAATTAATTTAAATTGGAAAATCTCATTCGCCAATTTTGCTTGGCATTTGAATTATTTAATTATAAAAGATTTTAATAATCTCCTATTTAATTGGTTACTACTAAAATTTATAATCCTACATGACACACTAAGAAAATTAGATCATATATGGCTCTCTAAAAACTCGGGAAAAAACTCCCCTTTATATATATATATATATATTAGATTTAAAAAAAGAACCTAATTCTCGATTCTGCTTTCTCAATATCTTACTCTCTCACAAAGAATGTAGTTAACAAGAACTGATTGTAGGAATTTTCAGGGTAAAGTTCGAGTTTCGGATTTGAATGTTGCAAAAGAAGGGAACAAATTTCGATTTGGATTGGATTCTAATATGAAAAACAGAATTAATTCGGTTTGGATTGGATTGGATTGAATCTTAGTTCGGTTTGGATTCGGATTGAGATTTCCGAAACCAAATTAATTCGGATTGGATTCGGTTTTGGCTATAATCCAAACCGCAAACCGAACTTTCACCCCTATCCTTTTTCTCCCTTTCAAATGTCTAACCTGCTAACTCGGGTCGGAAAGACCTGTGACTCTGTGAGGGGTTCCGGTTCGGTAGGACTCTTCTCTTTAACCCAAAAAAAAAAAAATAAAAAAAAAATAAAATAAAATTGTACTGTACATCATTTTATAAAAAATACGTAGTAAATCAATTTTACTACGGAGTACTTGCTGAAAGTGAATTACTCCGTAAAAGGATTTTGGAGCATTTTAACGGGCACCCCTCCCTCTTTCTCTACTCCATTGAAGCGTACTCTGAATTCTCTATTGAAGCGGTTAGTGAGCTTTCTCTCCTCCATTGAAGCAGCTTCTCAGGTAAAATGTTTTTTAATTTATTTATCCTATCATCGAAATCAATTTCACAATCTGTGTTAATTGGTAATTTAATTCAAATTAGGGTTTCTCTTAGGTGGATTGTTGAACTATTGCTTATAATTTAATTACTGAAAGATTATACAATGCTAGAATTTTTCTATTCATTAAGCGAGAAGGATATTTGATAATTTGTTGCAAAACCCTTTGATACTAGGATGGAACTATGAAAAATGGACCCCGAATGTCATTTGATATATCTGTAAATTCATTTGATAACCTGTAACTTTATTTTGGTTTACAATTAGACGAGTAATTGTCAATTAGAAACTGGATTCAATTAGTTTTCAGGAATTTATTTACTGATATTTTGGATGGTAGAGTGTTTTAGAAACTGGGTTTTGTGTGGATGAATTCAAGCTAATTAAAGCAGATTGGATTTAAATGGTGTTTGTGAATTGGTAATTTGGGTGTTGAATTTAGTTGCTTTTAAGTGTAAAGAGCTCCCAGCTTGGATGATTTCGATTTTTTGTTTTCGGATAGATCTAAATTTCCCTTCGTTTAACAATAGCTTACTGTGATTTGTAATCCTTTTTTTTGCAAATTGTGATTTATGCTGCTAATTAAGTTCTTCCTGGGGTTTATATTTTCAAGATTCTATCTTCGTTTCCTTTTATGAACAATGCAATTTAATTGGTCTTTTCAATTTCATTGGTAGAGAGTGGTGTGAGTTGTGAGATCTTTGAGAAGAGGTGTGTGCTGAATATAGTGTGGGTAATGGTGATGATATGTGGCAAGCTTAGGGGGATTTGGAGAGGAAAAAAAGCAAATGCCCCATTGTTATGCTTAGAACCTCGAACCTGCTATAGGAATTTGAGTTGGCTAAAATGGGGGTTACTTTTTTTGTTGATTGATGGTAATGATAAAAGCTATGATTTTGTTACTATTTAATTATGTGAGAATGTTGGATCGTCTGTCCAATTTTTCTCTTTGATATGCTGACTGCTGTTTGCTGTTCTTTTGTGTAACTTCTGATTCAGAAGGGGCATTTATATGGCTTGCTGCTAATGGTGAAAAATTTGTGATCTATGATGTTTTTGACGTGACATTGCTACTAACTACCTATAATTCCAACTAATAATGTTACAGTTACTAGTTAGTAGTTCATTGGGGCTTTAATAAAATTGTACTTTGAGTATGGTTTGCAAAATTCCCCTGTTTGTGCTTTCTAGTTAACATTTGTTTGTTATAGATTTTATTTAAAGTATTATTTAGACTAATACAAAGAGATTGCTCTCAACCAGTGTTATCTATGTTGTGGTACATGGACGAATTCTAGAAACACAATTTGCTGAGTGATTGTATTAAACTACACCAAAAGTGGACTTTGTCCCGATTCGCATGGTTCCCGGGGGGAGGGGGGTGGTTTTAGTGAATTAGGTAACACTGCTCTCAACAATGCTTAATGACAATTATGAGAGAAACTCACAATAGGTGCATAAAGCAGATGACGGCTGTTGCAACCCTGATATCTTGTGTTTTGAATGATAATGTGATTTTAACTAGAAAAAGGTCACTGTATATTATGTTTCGTTAATTTTTGAAATAGAGTGACCCCTCTTAGTCGGAGGGTCCCTTTAGGCAGAATACTGAGAATAGAGTTACTTTGATACAAAAAGATTACTAGATCTGAAAATGGGTGTTTAGTTCGTTTAAGGTTCACTCACTATGTGATGAAGAGGGTCAATATATGTAAAAGGGATCCTGCTTTGTTTGTTATTGTTAATTGAAGTACAGATCATTTGAAGTTCACTGTTACCTATTCAATGCATGATACCCCTCTTTGCTCAATGATTGATGTTGGTCTATATATTCCTTTTTGTTCAGTTTAAGCCTTCAACTACTCAAAGAGGTGTTTGGCAATGATAAAAAGATCCCTCATTTTCTTTTTGGAATGAAGTCAATATTATGTTAGAGGCTTATGGAGAGATTTTGTTTAAAAATGTGGAAAAGTTGGTGTGGATGTCGATCTTAGGAGAGAAATTGAAGCTGGTAATTTGCAGTGTATTATATTGGAGGTGCAACGTAATCTGGTTCTGCTTCTTGCTTCTACTTGCAGAGTTTAGGAGGGTTCACTGATCTGTGGTGTACCCAAGTTCATCTTGCAAGCAGTCACTAGAATATCTCTTACCTCGTTTCATTTAGTGAGGCCTAATCTTGCACTTTCGATCCTTTAAAGTTTACAGCTGCATCAAAATTAACTTTGCACTAGCCAAGTGGTGGAGGGGAACGTTTGATTGCATTTGTAGGAGGCTTATACCTCATTCTATTTTTTATTTATTTGCTTCTTTATATTTGCATTATTAGGCTACACCTTTGACAAGGTGAACATTGACTTTGCACAACCCAAGAGTTTGTGCTCTTTTTCCCAATCTAAAAAGTGCTATATATACTGATCATATGTGAGTGGCTTACAACCTACGGGCTCTGCAAGGAAACATCTTATAACTATCTATGCCTTGTGTCTGCTTAGATTAAACACTACTATGATAGCGACTTTTTGCCACTGTCTTTGCCCTGAACAGAAAGCAACTTTCCTCTTATTTTCCGTTCCTTTGAGGCTTTGATTCTTTGAACTAGGGAAGAATTCTTTTAAGCTGTCATTTTTCTCTATTGCTCTCCTCATCACATGCATTATTATTTTTCCATTCAATACCCACAAACAAATTTTTCCTAGGATTCTGTGTAAGCTCATTTGTTGCACATATTATGAAACAGAGGTACTATTCTCATTTACTAGGGAAGTATTCTTTGAACTAGTTGGAACATATGATGCCTTTGAGGCTTTGATTTTTATGATGTTATCTGGAGACGTTAAAATTTCTTAAATCAAATTCAGGAAGCAGGAAAATTGGAATTATTTGTACTTTTGCTGTATCTGAATGAGAAAGACATGATTTGGGGAAACAAATTAAAAACGCACACATAAATAAAAAAAGTACTTCAGTTCTTGCTAAAGCCGAGCCTTGGACCTGCAGTTGTTTGGTCTTGAACTCTAGCCGAATCTGAAACTTCGTTAGTTTTTGAGTTGGGAATATTTTTAGTCTGTGTACACTTTAAAATGCAATGTCTATTAAACTTTTTATATCTTTTCCATGACATACTATTGTATTTGTGATATTTTGTCCTTCTGTTTTCTGCTGCTCCTTCTCAGGTTAGAGGATATTAATCAAGATTAGCTGTGTTTGTACTTCCCAAGAGGCAGCTCTTTTTATTGTGAAGAATTTTTCTTGCCTTTCCTAATTCTCTGGTGGAATATGCATTTCATCAAGCATTTAAGAAACTTACATGTAAGGTCTATTTTTGAAAAAAAGTACGTCTTGTCTCAAGCTTGCTGTCTGCAAACTGGAGTATCTCAGAATACCAAGCCTAAGAAGTACAAATATCCCTCGGTCTACGACCCATATGGATCAAGACCAGCACCATCGGAAAAAGTCAATCAGTTAGCAGAGCAAATTATTACCCTAACTGCTGAAGAACGAGCTCAAATTGGTCCAGCACTCAGAGAGATTCTCAAACATCCTAAATTGGAGAAGATTTCAACAGAAGGCTTAGACTTGGGTGCTGCAGCTGCTGGAACCAACACTCAGGCTGAGGAGAAAAAGGAAGAAAAAACTGCATTCGACGTGAAGTTGGAGAAGTTTGATGCTACTTCCAAACTTAAGGTGATCAAGGAAGTCAGGGCATTGACCAGTCTAGGACTGAAGGAAGCCAAAGAGCTAGTGGAAAAGGCACCAGTAGTACTTAAACAAGGGCTCACAAAAGAAGAGGCAGAAGGCATAATTGAGAAAATAAAGGCTGCTGGAGGAGCTGCAATAATGGAGTAAAACAGAACGAAGACAGAAAGCAAAACCCATTAAGAAAAAGGATAGGTTTCAGGAGCTTCTGGTGTTTTTTACGCTTCTAATAGACAACAATTATTCCGGCTACTACGAGAAATGAAGAGATTAATAGTTTGGCATATTTTTCGATGGGATTTTGATGTTGGTTAGTTGTGCTGTAACTGGGATTCTCTTCTAAGTTCTGAATATTATTGATATTTTTGGTCCAACAACTCTGTCTTTAACAATAAGAAATAAGAACTAGGAAGAAAATATCGAATCAGTACCCTTGAGAAATGAGAACAGGTTTGGCACTTCTTAGTTTTTTGGTCCAACAAGTGCTCCAATATTATTATGAATTTATGATTTAATTTTTGTCCGTAGTAAAGACTAAAGAGTATTATTTTGTTACTTGCTCTTTTTGCTCCAAAAAGCTCACAACCAAACAACCCCCCTCCCTTCCCCAACCCTGTTAAACGACCACCCTCCCTTCCCCGATCCTCAAAATCGCCACGCCACCCTTGTCTTCCCCCACCCTAGGTGGTGGTTTCGGGGTGGGGGATGGGGGAAGGGAGGGGGGCGGTTTTACTTTGCTTTTGTAAAAAAAATAAAAATATAAATTGGAGATGTTTAATGGATTCCAATCAATGTGATGGGACTTTATGGCATGGTTTTATAAATTCCAACTTTAGCTAGTTCTCTTTTAATAATCTCAATTGTGCTCAATTGAACTACACATTATTCATAATTATATCAAAAAGCAGAAGTCTCTTTTATGGGCTATGTCAAATTTACATCCAATGAATATGTACATCACATAATTCTCAATTTTATGTTCTTCAAACCAAAAAGTTCGGACATCTACATGAAATCTCAGTATTCATTCTAGAGCTAAAGAACACTTCAGTAAGCAATTCATTAATCGAACAACAGAATGTCATTTCAACTTGCTGGTTCAAATCTGCAGACACAGTCGTAAATGTTCCCCTTCAGTAATTTTTCTGCCAATCTCTGGTTCTTCACCATTGCAAGCTGCGAAACAATATCATTTACAATAACTTAATAATGGTTCAATAAGGGTATGAAATTCCTCTATTCATGAAAACTTTGTAAGACGCAGGGTTACAAAGCTCACCTTCAGAGCATCACATTTGAACTTAGCATTGAAATTAGTATGAATAGCTCGGCCCATGCCTTCCAAAATTACCTGCACGCCACAAACATACATCATTCATGTAATTTACGTTTTCATTTACTATTTTATTTATGTTTATTCTTCTTTTTTATTTTAAGCTATAGGCCTAGAAGATTTAACAAGACAAAACACCGCAACAGATACACGAAATTGCAAATTATGAATCAACTGAATAAACTCGCTAAAATAAGTGCAGTAAACGTACCAAATCAGCATCTTTGGCAGCAGCAGCAACCTCAGAGCTCACTTGTCGTAAGTCGATGCATGGACTTCCACATCCATTTTCAACAACCATTAAAGGCACGGAAGGCAGTTCTTCTTTAGAACTTTCTTGTACATTTATCATTGCATCCACAAGAAGCCCACCAGCTTCAGCTGCTCTTCGGAGAATATCACAATTCTAGGAAGAGAAAATTGAAACATGAATTCACTTAGAACACGCACAATGGACCTCATGCTCAAATCAAACACAAGATTAAAATCATACCTTTGCTGCCTCTGCAACAATGTCAGGAAGCTCCATGGCAGTCACATCATTAAGAGCAGGGAGTGAGTTTGCTACCAGGACAACCTGCAAAGCAATCACCGTACATAAACAGTTATATGAAAAGGCACAAGGAGAAAACAACTTTTACTAGGACTGGACATCAAATACTTAGAGAGAAAAAGAGAAGCTATGGGAATCACATTAAAACGTCCAACATAAATGAATATGAAAATTATAATGAAAAGCGAGAATTTAAACATTCAATTTGGCTTAAGAATGAAGAGCTTCAGTACTTGATATAAACATCAACAGAAAGATAAATAAAGGCTAAAAACGCAATACAATGATCTTCATCGACTTATATCTGCTTAGGTTCCCCCCCCCCCCCCCCTAAAAATCAGACTTATCATCTCTAAATATCGAATGTACGTGTTATTTACTAGAGCCTACAATCACACTTACTTCAGTTCCTCGTCGAAGAAGCTCTCTAGCAAGGGGAAGCATCCCTAAGACAACGTCAGCACCAGAGTTATCCACAAAGAGCAATGCTCGTTTATGAGGTGGTGGCTTTTTGCCACTTAATCCGAGCATTCTTTCCTTGAACATATCAAAATCATCCACCTGATACATGAGATCACATCATTAACAGACAGCACATTGGAAAACAATCCAAGGACTATCCCATAAAGTGAGGAATGACACAATGCGGTGTAGAAATTAGCCACAATAAAAAAATAAAATATGATCAAAATCATATCAGTACTCTTACCCGCCATGGTCTTTGCATCTTTTTCCGACTCATTCGATAAATCTCAATAATTGTCCCTTTGTGATAGAGGTCCACACATGCACGAGATCCCCAATCAAAAATGTTTGCTGCAAGGACTCCCTCAATCAAGGTAAACAGTTTATCCTCCTGCATAAGTAAGAGTATTATATACAAAGATCTAGAGCAAAGGTAAATGCTCATTAATATTACCATCATAAAAACCACGCATGCTCTTGTTCTATGACGTTTGATCATACTAAGGCTCACACAGTAGTCACACATACCTCAGACATGCTATCAAGCTCCATAAGAAGGTCAGGTAAAACAGCAAGGGAAGCCTCGTTTTCCCTACAATACATGAACGCATAATAAAGATTCATAAAGGAGAGCATTTGAATTGGTCTGAGCAATATTATAATCATTTGGTTGATGACAATAATTGATTAAGAGATTTAGATGCTCTTAAATTCCATTCATTAACCTTAATATGTTTATGCTTCTATATGATAAAGTACGAAAGCAGGTACCTTTGCTTTATGCTTCTATACGCATCATTAAACTGAAATTCCCTCAAGCATTCCTCCCTCAGTTCCAGAAGATTGGCAAGTCCTAATTTCCCATAAGCAGCAGGCTCTTCCATCAACCTATTAAGGAGTTCACAAATAAAACTGTCAGATAAAATCTTCAGTATCTGAGAATCATCAATCTTGAAATATACAAGTATATGACTAATGATTAAGTACCTACTATCCTACTAGGTGGCTAAAGACAAAAATTTCTGTTATGACTTATGAGAAGGAGTTCAAGAACAACATTGGAGAGCATATTGGCATACTAATCATACAATGAGCAACAATAGTAACAATTGTGCCAGATATGACTGGAAATGGTTATAATTAAAGATCCAAAAGCAACTCAACTCATCCAGTTCAACATGAAAAGTTCAAAAGTCAGCTAAAACTGTGTTCCTATTTACAGGACCATAAGCCATCAGTTTTCACAAGCTTGAAGCCTTTTTCCGCATTAATTTTTATTACTTTTTTATTGCTAATAAATTTTATTGGTTGAGTGTAACATGTGATTACAGATATTTCCTTTCTAGTGACATTAAAAGTTCCTGGGCAGAGGGGATGAACAGAAGACTGACATCAGTATCAGCAGCGTCAGTGTCAGTAGAAACCAAGACACTTGCCAAACAAAGTTGTACTCTCCAACAAAAGCTTAACCAAAGACACATATCATAACAGATTCATCCAACATACAGAATTATATTAACAAATTTTGCTATGAAGTATCAAATTCATGGAAGCAATTCAAAAATAACATGCATTTCGCTAGTTATTTAATTTAAATAGGGTAAAGGAAAAAGGAACAACAGGAGACCCTCGTCATGAGGGGAGCACCTGGTGCACAAGTTTGGGACCAGAGTAATAATATATGACTCCACTTGTAACCATCACACATTCAATATATTCACCTGGCCAAGTGGGCAGAAAATGCACGAGAAAAAGCATCACCCCTTCTTTTAGCATCATCAGTACCTCCTTCACTTGCCACAGCCTATGAACAAACATTAAAATGGTAATCAGAAAATAATGAATATATATATATATTCTTTGTCAATCTAGAGGAAAAAATAAAGTTAGGGACACTGAATCCTAATGACAGCATAGACATTAAGTATATAAAGACCACTTAACAATTATAACCACTTACCTTGTCAACAAGATCTGGTAAATGCTCAGACAGCACTGTAAGCCAATACCTACAATACAAGCAATAAAAAAAGTGATATTAACATACTAACCTTCGAGATGTTATCTGGATTGACGGACCAGATAAGAAGGGATTTATAGCACATTACTTACTCTAGCTCTCCATGGTCTGAGAGATCAATGGTGTTAGGTTCATACCTGCACAAATATTATAGAACTATAATCAGTGCAAGTTTTTTTTTTTTTTTTTTTTTTTTGGGCACGAAACACAAACAAGCCATATGGAGTAACTACTATCCTGAAGCTTGGAATTAGTATCAAAATGAGGCTTCCAAAGATTATCTTTAACTAAATAAGAAAAGCAAGAGCTATTGACCTAAATCACGCCAGTAAAAATCAACTTCCAAAAGGTAATTCTAATTTTAAAAATTGTATAGGATCAACATTGACTCAGCAGCAGCAAAGATGACTTAAAGATTACTCCTACATTTTTGAGTCCGCCAACAAAGGAAACACATCCAAAGTAGGAACAAGGTGCAAAACTCCAACATTCAAGCTGCTTGCATCGGAACGCAGAGTATCTCCTCGTGATAAAGGAACTTCAAAGCCCCCAAGTCCAGTCGTTCCAGGAGGAATCATAGGAACAGGAGCAATAATTTCAGTTCCTTTCTGTACAAATTTTTCCATCCATGATATCTGCGATTTTAAAGCCAAGAAAATGTTAAAAGCTAAAGGAATAATACTAAGAATTTAAGTTCATGATATTTCATGTGTACTACAAAGAATAATACAAAAAACTAAAAAAGGAGTTCTGTTAAAAGTGGCAAAAGCATTCTAATCAGATTCGCTTCCCTACCTTTTTAAAAGTAAGAATATTATGAATAATGTTGAGTAGAATATGCCCCTAAAAATGTTTATTTACGTATTTACCTCTTTTAAAAGTATGATCACACTTTTATGAATAGTGTTGAAACGATTATGTCCCTAAAATGCTTATTTACATATTTGCCCTCACTTGTGTTAATTTTTTTTTCAGTCTTAAGAATAGCGTGTGCCGTGTGGACATTTAATCATTTATACCCCTAAATACCTTGTTAAAAGCATGAGTAAATTTTTATGAATAGTGTGAGATGATTATGCCCCTAAAAATGTTTATTAATGTATTTACCCCTTTTAAAGTATGACCACAATTTTATGAATAGTGT